AGTATACATGTAGATATAATGAAACCTGCACTATATATATATATATATGTATATATGTATAAAGATAACATCTATAATAATAGTGTCTGGTTCAGTTGTTGATCCTATATTTTGGGGATTTCATTGTATTATCTATTTCAGCTATCGCCGCATTTGCTGATAGTGTGAGATGATAGTTTGAAAACAATCGTTGACATTGTTCAATATTTAATTCTGTATTTTAAACTATGTTTTTTATATAAACGTAGATTTTATTTTATCTAGTCATAAGTAGAAATACGTAACATCTTCATTCATCTTTGAAAAAAAAAACATTAATGATTTTAATTTCATGTTTTGAAATACAAGACACAGTTTATTCATCTAAAAATAAACGTTATCGCAGCTTCTATATTTTATCTTGTCATTCATAATTTTCCTGCATCGTTTAATTCATATATATCCAGAGTTTAATTAATATATTTATCGAATTTTCAATACTCAGTTGATCGTTTAACTTTTTTTGTAATTTAGAAGATAATATTACACCATTTCGTTTTTATTTTGCGATTTATTAATCTATTTATTACTACAGATCCTCGATTTGTATTCCTTTTATGATTTTATTAATTAATTTTATCTGTATAGTCAAACAACCGGTCTGCTATGTTTAACTTCACACTTTATCAAAACCAATGAATCGATTTTTCATTTTGAAAGAAAAAAAACATTCACCACTAATGATGAAACATAAAAAATACTCAGAAAAAACAGTAAAAAGATGTATTTCAAAAAGGAAATTTTATTTTCTCATAATTTAAAAACAATTCTATTTATGGTGGCTAACATATAGTAGATTTATGGCTAAATTTCATTAAGCAATATTTCATAAATATAAATCACTGATTAATATGATGAATTTACCTTAAGTGAAATCAGAACATTGTTGCACTCGTGTAACTATGTTATTTTGATACACATACTGTGTTTTTTCATCCACAAATTAGGTCTAAATTCACGTAGTAAAAATTTACCTTTATCAAAAATGCATTTAGTGACATTTTTCAATGCATCGACGTATATGATCATTTGAAAGATAATTAAAATTCATAAAGAAAAAATCCTCTGTATCGGACCTTTATTAAAACATTTTTAGTTTATTATTTTAATTATGATCGATTTTAATTCATCAAGAAAAAAAATTAACCCCTCACAATTTATTTATTTTCATATTATATTACCATATTGTAACTGACTAATATCATGGATAATTCGCATGGACCAACTCCGTTAATCCAAATGTTTGATCGTTGATATACACATTATTTTTGTTTTTTATGTATTACAATTATACAGATATGTTCAGTAAAACTTTTTTATAAAATTTAGCCAATTTATTAGTGAAACGATCCCCTTCAATAAAACTTTACGATATTATTAAGTCAGTAATACAAAAATTGTTGAATTATTGTTCATTGATGAATTAAGAATTATTCGTTTATTTTTATTTACCATCAGTTTTTATTCATTTATTGTTATTATTTAGTCACCCTATTAATCAGAGTGAAAAAATATATATATTTACTTAAATAAAATTATCTTTAAAGGTGTATCGATTTGGCCTTATTTCTATTCACCCTCCTTAGTAACTCTGTAATACGATGAGCTCGATGACGCGGATGGATCACGTTCTATTAAAAAACATCGCACGTACATTGTTCCCGGGTCATTAAATCCCTTAAAGAAAAATTTTCAGGGTTAAGTATTCATCCTTGGGACACCTGCTCAGGTAATTTCAGGTATTCGGAGAGACCTGCCGCTGGGTTCTTCAAACTCTATTCAAATATTGGGGTTGAGAGTTGAGAGTACTCTCATCTTCGTGATCCTCTTTGTTGTCTTTACGCCTCCTCCCTTTCAGCCTGCTCCTGGAAGTGAAAAAAGCGCCACTTTGAGGTGGATGGATGTCCCTTTGGCGGGGAGAACGCAACCCTTGTTCGGTTTTTCCCGCCTAATTGCGACGCTTTTTGACAGAACATGTGGCCTAGTCAAGGGGGAAAAAGTTTCTCCGTAATAGCCTAATTAAGGCCCACTTCAACCCTCACTATCTTTCATCGAGGATTATTCTTCAGTTGCGTATTTTTCTAATTACACCATTAGTAAGATGTCCATTTCTGGAATTCAAGTGGTCACTTCCATTCTTGTACTGTTTATCATCGACACCTGTATCTCAGTCTAATCTTGGACGGTTGAGTCATTGTTCCGGAAACCTCTGCGTTTTTTCAAGATATACAGGCTTGTTCCCCTGCGAGCTGAAGAATCCCCTTTACATCTTTATGTAAAGCAGGCTTCATCTGTAGTCCGGAGGGAGACCGCATCAAGGTCTTATTAGATTTATTCAACTCTTGTTATGTCGCACGAGTGAGATGTTTATCTTCTTGCTTAAGTTTTGCAACTTCTTTTTTTTTTTTACTGTCCATATAGTTTCAGTTCCCCTTTCAAAAACATATATGATAATTAATACCAACTTGCATTCAACTTGTAGACGAATGTTATTAAAATTATCAATAAATCCTTTACTAAAAAAAATCTTACAGAGATATCCAGAGTTAATGGCAAAAATTCATCAAGTAAAATTTTATAAAATCATATCACCAAGTATTTCGATGAATTTTCTTTTCATAAAGTGATAGAGCACAGCTCCCTTAGAATAACAACTTTTTTTTATATATGGATTTATGTCATTTCAATTTATTTACTGCATTTTCCATCAATAAATAAGGTTGAAATTAATAAAAATGTACCAAAAAATTTAACACCGTCAAAAATGTACTTAGTGACTTGCAATAAACCGACGATTTACTACCAAATATTTCGTGTCCGTTTTAATCAATTATCATTAACAAATAAACTTATATTTTATAGAACATATTATATATTTAGTAATATCATAACTGTTAGCTTGATTTTTTTTTATTCTATTCTCAATTGAAGAAAACCACAAAGTATTAGAAATTTAGGTGTTATCAGTTTTTTTTTTTTTATTACTAACTATTAATTTAGTTAAGATTGGTTAACAATAGTTGGGTTAAAAACATGAAATTGTGCAGTTTTAATAAACAAATGAAATACGTCATAGAAAAGCAAGCCAAAAACGTGACCTGTTATTCAATGAACTGCGTCTTCCGTTTTATGTCAACTCTTCAGAACAAGTTTTACACCAAAGAAATAATTAATTTTATTTAGGTTACGTGGAGTTGCATAAGGATTCGTAACAGAACCAATAGGTTAATTAATTTATATTGTTTTGATAATTAGTTCTCTGCTCATTTTTCCTTGAATATAGAATACTCATTTTATATTACATCTCTTATTAATTAATTAAATTAATAATTAACTAACACTACGAGCTCGTGACTAAACATGTCACAATGGTTGAGGACAGTTAACGATAAGTTCACCTTTTGGCTATTTCTGTTAAAGTAGAGAAAGCGGAGAATGGCAACTGAATTCCTAATTTCGGAAGTATGCAATAATAGACCCTTTTCTAGTTCACAATACCCCTATACACAAAATTCTTGACAAATAAACTTATTAAGTATCTTTGAACTTAATTCAGGAGATTCTTTGGACAAGAATATAAATTTTATAACTGTCTACCCCATTGATGGAATAATAAAAAATTAACTTTATTGTGGTATAGTTCTTTATTTTAGAAATACAATATATTCTATTTCCAATATTTTGCCTTCATCTTCGTTTTTCCAATAAATCTGATGATATTTTTCTGTGAAATGGTTTTGATGGATAAAATACTTTTTAATTTGTAATTCCTCCTAAATTCTCAGCACCAATGAAATTATTTATTGTTCTAAGGCGAATAAATACAATGGTAATTAACGAAATATTATTTACTTCATTTGTATACAATTATACTTATTATTTCGACCATAATTTTATTTCTTCGACCCGAATAAATTATAAATAATAAACCGAATAAACTATAAATGTATAAAAAACTAATAATTTTAAACTATAAATTGAGCTCCAAAATTACGAAACTCCCTTCCCTCTTGTCGTCCAAGACGACAGTACTCATCAGCACGGCTCTCTAAATCGTCGTTTAAGTACTCTTGTTATAAATCTTGAAGTACTCTTGACTAATTCTTGCAAGCCACAGGAGCTAATGGCGGAGGTGCCACGATGCCCCGACGGCTAGACTATTCAGCTTACCTGACTCCGTCTCTGCTTCATGGACAGCCCATGGCGGACTTTTTTCAGCTCGGCTGGGTCGCTCAAATGAACTTTTTGGTACAATCAAAACATGTAAAAGGAAAAAAAAGTCCTAAAAACTTGCAATTGCCGTCCACATCTGCCGATACAAATAATTCTGCATATGATTATTTTCACTTTTTCAAAAACTTCTTACAAATGGCTGGTAAATAAGCAACAATGCCCCATCATTCAAACAATACCCGAATAATTTGTTACCATAAAGACCATGTGTTATAAATCTGTCTGCACGTTGTTTGACCAGAAGGGCCAAAATTAGCCTCCTCCGCCATTTTCTACCTACCCTTAGTCACGTATGCAGAAACTGAAGGGCGTTTCGGGTTACAGTGCTTGGAACCTGGCATTCATGGTTTTAATTTGACACTTCTAAGGGTTCCTCTCAAAGTCAATATGGTGGATCTTTTCTGTTTTGACGTTTGTTACTCCAGATGTTTCGTATTTTCTTTGAAACAGCGTTGAACATTTGCGAACCATGATATTCATGCTGCTCGTGAAGTTCTGAGGCATTCTTTTTGAAAGGAATCTACTGATAAAAATCGTTAATCTGTGAATAAAATCTCTATTTAAAGGGAACAGTTATATCTGGAACATCTGGCATTCCTATCTGAACTAGAGATACATTTGTTTTGTCCTGCTACTCGTTTCTATCATTCTTTCCCCACTTTTTTATTTTTTAATATAATATATATTGTATGTATACATGTTATTGATTTATGTTATTTTTGTTGCAGTACCCAGGCAGCCAGGGACCTCTGGTTGTCCAAGCTCAGCGAGGTTGTCAATGTCGAGAAGGCCAAAGAGCCAGCCAACACCAATATTCAGGTCACCTTCTATGACCAGGCCACGAACATAGAATACGTAAGTATCAAATCACCTTCATACACCATTAAATTCAACCCCACGCATTCCATGTTCCAAAACCTTCAATTCACTCTATCTCAATAAACGCATTCCATCCTATTCCCCAATCCCCTTTCCATAAAATAACTACATATAACATTTTCTTCCAGGACATCCTCCTCCTCTTCCTCCTCCTACAAATTCTTTATTAAACCCCTCTCCCCTTCTGCCCATCTCTTAGCTCCCCAGCAATTTTCATTTTCTTACTCTTTAATTCCATGTTTATATTTTAATTTTGTGGAGAGAATCATTATTACCTTTAACTGAAAAAATCAGTTATTTTATGTGAGCAAACTAAACTGTTTTAATACTAAATACTATATAAACTATTAATCAGACGACCCTTTTTTTTATCAAATTATTAACACTTGCCTAAAAGTTCGTGAATTGCTTCATCTCATCGTAACCTATAAATTTTGATTTATAAATATTTCTGGAATTGTGACGTATTCAATCCTGAGATCGCCAAACTTTGTCAATTTTATTAGGTACTAAAAACTTATTAATACCCTTTAGCTTTCCACTTGAATCGTATGGCGGCGTAACTTCTACACCCAACTTGTCAAATTAACTAGTGTGAATAGGACAAACGGCGCAATATTTTTGTTGGCCACCTTTTTTTTCTTTCGATTTTTTGATCATATTATCTTACGATTCAAGTGAAAACCAAATGGGTATTCATGAATATGCAATTAATTAATTTAATGAGAAAACTTCCCATTTCTGAGAATTTTCGCAGATAAAAATGTTGTTTACCACAAGAAGAAGCCATTCACGAAGTTTAGGCGGATGTAAATAATTTGATAAAACTGGGTCTGTACCACGGACTATTTATTCTTATATTACTATATAAGTACCATATTTGTCTCAGTAAATATATTTCACATAATTGTAATAAGTAAAACCAAACTCAAGCTAAAATACATGTAAAATCATCTTAAAGAATATTTTTATTCCGATCTCCAACTCAAGGCATTTTACGCGTTTCTGTTTATAAATTTTAAAGTAATAATATAACATTTGAATAAATGCTTATTGATTAAGAAGCTAATGGATCTCAGAATTTGAATACGCCTCTCCAAAGCCATATTTACGCGACGATTCTAATGAAATTCAATGTAATATAGAATTACCTACTGTTAACTAAACTCGAAATTAGTAGAGAATGAATGCCAAAGTGTCATTCATTTAGAGGAACACTTACATATAAATCTAGACCTTCATATTCCGGCAGATAGACAAGAAAAAAAAAAGAGCAGTAAAATCCATAAATCTCCCTAAACATAAACAAGAACCTACTAATGGCAGGACGTGGAGACATCCGAGCGAGGTAACAAAAAGAGGCCAAAAGACAACTAGCTAAATGACACTATCGCTCCAGAGATCGCCGTGCCACGCCCAGCTTCCAGAAGATGCCATGCCTTATCTCCAGCTGGCCATTGTCTCCCGTTCTCTATAATATAACTGGAGCGCTATATCCTGGAGGGGATTTATTAGGCCGGGTGCTTATATTGTTGTCTTCTTAATGACTCCGGGGCTTATCTCGGTAATCAAGGATAACTAGGAATGTTTGATGACGAGCATCTCGTCTGGGGTGAAGGTCAAGAATTCAGTCAATGATTGATTACGATATCCGACTTGAAATTAATAGAAAGGGCATTCTTTGATTAAGTTATTTTTAGAATATAGATCTGGAATCTCTCAATTCAAATCTTTTCAGCGAATTAATTTGCTAGTTGTTGCATTCCATATAATTGTTGTACTATTCCAAATTGTACTAAATACTAATACCGGCTTTACACACGAAATTATTATCTTTTCTATCATATAATCAGGCTTGTTAATTATTAGAATCATGCTCACTCATTACCGCTCCTTATAACTCATCCTTAATGACTCATTGCGAGCTCAACTGTCTTTTAATTAACCGATTGAAGCGCGGGCCTTGAGCGGCGGCGACCTTTCGGAGACGGGCTGAATCACGAATCCCTTTCCCGCAGAGATGGGAACCATTGAACTTTAGCAGCAAGACTTCTGGAAAGAAAATGTCGCTTAGGGCAGTCTCCGCTTCGGAAAGCGGTAGTCCAAGGGATCGCTCGGTTTTCCCTAATTACGAAAGGACGTTGCCCTTTACCGAGCTCTGGTTGCTGAAATTTTTTGTCTAGTTAAAATACTACAAGTTTCGTAAAAGTAATTTAGTATAGGTACTGTTTGTTCAGTTAATGTGTAAAACAAACTTTATATTCGTTTCGAATTCCGATAAAGTTATCATCTGTTATTGGCTGACTTACTACTAAAGTCAATTATTGAGATTTTCTAGACCACTGATATAATTTCTTATGTGCCCTATAAAATAAACTTGCATTTTTTTGTTCTCTGCCACTTGTAAGTATTTATTGTTCCATTAAATAGTTAATAAAAAGAAATAGATTTAAATTGAAGCTAATATAGCTTAATATAAAATTTTCTAAAGTTGAGCTTACGCCCACATCATATAAGATGAAATTGCTGTAATCTTAGCTCTGTGTAGAGTTTTAAAATGATTATATAGAAATATTATAAAATCAGCTATGAGCCTGTTCACTTAGTTACTTATGTATTGTTGCAGTGTAAGACACTATCAGTGTCACCTGAGGAAACCGCGCGAGGTGCTGTTTGCGCAGCAGTTGCAGCACTTGACCTGCCGCGTCATGGTAACTACCAGCTGTGGGCGCAGTCCGCGAGGGAAGAGGCTCCATACCCGCTGATAGGACATGAGCGGCCAGCAGCCATCAAGCTTTCCTGCCTCAGGGATGCCCTCTCTGCTGAAGAGGGTTTTGACCTTGATCATTGCAACAATGTTCATGATCCTCTTGCCCGGTGCACCTTTATCCTCAGGAATGCCTGTAAAAGTCCTGATCCAGGTGAAAAGAAGAGCCCGAAGAAGATGTCCAATCGAATGAGGATAGGGCAAGTCTTTAGGCGGAGCCTTTCTAAAGAAAGTCCAGGATGTCTTTTTGGTTTACCTTTATCGAGGATATGTCAGGGAGATTCTCTACCACCTCCTGTAGTTGTAAGTATTGAAACATTTTTTTTTATAAAGAAAATTCCTTCACTTCGTTTTACTTATTCTTTTTATTCGTATTTAGGCTATGCTACATCAGGTTGCAACTAAAGGTCCATTTACTGTTGGAATGTTCCGGAAATCAGCAAATGTAAGGATAGTCCGCGAGCTGAGATCAAAATTGGATGCTGGGCAACCAGTTGCAATGGACTCAGTGCCAGTGCTTGCTGTTGGTGCCCTGTTGAAAGAGTTTCTTCGCTCTCTACCTGATCCTCTTCTCACCACTGCACTCTATCCTAAATGGAGGGCAGCTGTTGAAACACCTAACCTTCACCAGAGGCTCATCAGGATCAAAGGGTAATTATTTAATCAAAGTTTCTTGCCTAGTTTGTTCCATTAATCTCTCTAATTAAAAAATAAATAATTTTTTTTTCTTATTTTATTTTATAGAATAATCGAAGAACTACCACCTATCAACAGATTGCTTCTTCGATATGTTGTATGCTCTCTGGTATTGATAGCGAGGAGATCTTCAACCAATCTTATGTCACCAGCAAATCTTGGTGTTTGCGTGGGTCCATCTCTGTTATGGCCCCCAGCTGCTGGAGTGCCTGGAGACCTCCGAGCAGTGCCAGCACTGGTAGAAGCTCTTATCAGCCATGCAGATGTACTCTGTGGACCCAATGTTACAACATTGCTTGGTGACCCTAGGGACAGTGGAACTGAGGAATCTGACTGTAAGTTTGATGCTTCTATTTATTATATTTTGAATTAGTAATCCAATAATAGATTTATAACATCACATTCTTAAAGATACTGATTTTTTTTGGAGATAGAGTTTATCATCTGTTCTTTTTACTCAAAAACTTCATTTCATTGCAGCTTTACGAAGAGATGACTCTTCAATTGACAGTTTAGAATGCTCACCACCTCCAAGGAAGGATAAGATCTCTCTCAGTCGTGACTCTGGGTTAACAATGTCAGATTCTCAACTCTATACCCCAGATGAAGAAGAATCTGGATCAACTTCTTCTAGTGGATATGATCCAGCATTTGATCAGCATGCAAAGGTAATTGAGCACAAATATATTTCTTGATATAATATAATGGATGGAAATATATACTAATCTTAACTGTTAAAATCAGCCATGAGGATTTTATACATTAAATCTTGTTTCACATTTTAAATCTCTTTAGATAGTCAACCATCTTGCAGTATGGTTCAATATTTCTTTTTAACTATCTTATTCAATTTTTTCATTAGAAGTCTTTTTTTTTAATTGCTTTATAAATTTGTCATGTTTTTTTGTGCAGGTAACAGCTACCATGTCAGTACCAGGAGAATATGTACGAGTATATGGTGGATGGGAAGAAAGACTGAATCCAAATTTCCAGAGACAGGCTTGGTTTAGGCAGAGATCCAGGCGGTTAAATACCCAGCAACAACAACCAGTCATACATTCAGCCAGCCAAGAAAACCTGCTGAGTAGGACAACAGGCACTGCTCTACAAGCACGCTCAGCATCTCAGGAATCTATATTGGACCAAGAACCACCTCCTGCACCTCCACGCAGGAAAGACCTCAAGTCATTCGATGAACTGTTTGACCATCACCCACCCCTCCGTAAAGTAACTGCAGTCCATTGCGAAGTCATCTCCGAGCCACGTAGAGCCCAGTACAGACCTGCTTATACCCCCAAACTACCCATCTCTGCAAGCACAGTTGATGTCACCAAACCACCTAGGCTGGATGGAGAAGATGATTCGTCGACTCTGTCTGATGACGACTGTACTCCCCATGTTTCACGGTCCAACAGCCGAGGGAACGAAGTCAAACTGAGGCACCTTCCTCCAGTACATGTGGAGAGCTCCTTCCTGAGGGGAAGGCTGCGTCGGAAAGAGGACCAACATAGGGGTTCTGCTCACCGCTCGCGGTCGTTGCCCCCAGCCCCCGCCCCTCAATATGCCAACAAGAGGGCACCTATCACCTCATATTACTTAGGCGACTGTGTCCAGCCACATTACATCGTTACCAGGGCTTACCGAGATGAAGAATCTTATGTATAGTTCGTAAAGTCCTTGTATTATCTTTCTTAAATTGCCATATGTACATAGCTATTAAAAATAAATGTGTTCTATTTGTACAAAATTTTATTCTAAGAGCCAAGAGAAATTATATATTATTTGTTTATTTTGACGAACTGTGATTCTGCTATTAAATCTTCGCCTACCTATTGTAGTATGAGACTAGACTTTTCTAGCCATTTAAAATTAATATATATTTTGTCTGTATATTGATACTAAAAATCAGTAAAATCCAGATTATATATTTTACCAATATAAAATATATTTTGTTACTGAGACTTTTATTTTATAAATATAAATTTATATAAATGAGATGTATATCTATTATTAATTAAGGATTTTTGATTTGTAAATAGTTATAAATATGTATAATTTCAAAAAGTAAACTATAATTTCATTAAAATTATCATACATAAAAAAAAAATTGTATTTCTATTAATGCAAATCCCTTTCCTGAAGCTTATCATAAAACAAAAATACAAACCAAAAACACTAAAAAAATATATATATTTTTTAAAGAACGTTATTGGTTATACTTTGACAGGCCTAAACTAAGAGCAAGGCCAAGAAATGGAATGAGACCTAACATTTGAATTTAGTAATATCAACATAAATGATTAATTATTTTTATCAAAATAACCTTAAAGCATCCACACAGAGATTCCCACTGAGCTGTTATACATACTGAGCTGTTGACTTATACATTAAGTACCAATGACTTAAAAATTATAGAAGGAGAGATATAATCAATCAATTAGGGAAATAACTCGTGCAAGACAGATTCATCAGAAGGCTTCAAAATTATTCCTTTTGAATTCATTGTTCTATTCTTGTGAAAATTAAGTGAAAACAAAAAATCAAAAATGTTTTTTCATCATAATATAAAGTGAATGTTCGCCTATATCATCCTTCTTTTTTAAATAACAATTTATTTGTCAATACAAAGTCTACTAATATTTTGAGGTTAGTCGAATATATTGGGTTTGCAAATAAGTCCTTTCTGTTTTTCTGATTATTTTTATGTCACTATGCATTAATACATCTTATGATGAATTAATCTCTAAGGTGGATTGTTTATCCTATTAGTAACATGTCAACAACTATATTTGTTAACTCTTGTTGAAACTAGCTTAGTATTGTGTTTGCTAATGCACTGTGAATATGGAAAAATATATCAGTCATTATCGGCATATTTTGTTGTATTATTTTAAAAAAGGTTAGTGTGCTGCAGAAGCTCAGAAAAATTTGCAGTGTTTATAGGGATGATGCCTTAACCAAACACCCCTGTCAAAATTGGTTTGCCAAATTTCCTCCAGGAAATTTTGACATCAATGATGCTCAACGGTCTGGTCGGTCACATGAAATTGAAACGAACAATGTTAAGGTCATTATTAATCAAAATTCCACCCAATCAGTGCGAGAGATGCTATGGCCGTAAATGTGTCACACACAAGCTTATAAAACCATTTACACAAGCGTAGAAAACCATTTGCACAAGCTTGGCTATGTTTCCAGGCTTAATGTTTGGGTCCCTCACTGATTTTTTTTCAAAAATCACAAGTGTTATAACTTCAATAGGACTTTAGCTATTTACAAGAAATTTAGCAGGAATTTAGGGCTACATAAACTACACAAAATGACAACCACAGGACCTTTGTAAACAAACTACAATTGGAGATAAAAAATAAAAACCTATAAGGAGATTTTGTTTATTTATTGCTTAGTAGGCATTAAATTAAAAAAAAACATTCATAGGGGTTTGAAGAGCAATAATTCAGCTTTCAACAAATATAGCGACATCAAATTTGGAGAATATCCTGAAGAGTTATGAATGATCAGAAGGGTGTTTATTTAAGGGTATTTCACCAAGAAACGCTAGGCCCCACACCTCATTGGTCACTAGCAATAAATTGTTGAGCCTTGGATGGGACCTTTCGCCCCACCCTGCCTATTCACCAGACCTAGCTCCAAGTGACTACCACTTATTCCGGTCTCTGCAGAACTTCATGAATGGAAAGAAATTCCAAAAGGAAGAGAACATCAAAAACCACTTGGATCAGCTTTTTAATAATAAACTCCAGACACTCTATGAACCATGGCATTATACAGCTAACAGAAAGATGGGAAAAAGTCATAATAAATAATGGTCAATATATTGTAGATTAAAATAAATTATATGTCAATAATTCATTGAGTTTTATTTCACCCTGAAAAACCGAAAGGACTTATTTGCCAATTCAATATTTAACACGTAAACATATAGACGCAATGAAATATCTTCAAATTGCTAGTTCATATTTGTTAGACGATCCAGTCATAAACTTAACTTTCAGATAAATTAGGTTAATCTATTCCATGTTTTTATTTGATTTAGAGTTATAATTGTTGTTTTGTAAAAGTGATGCTACTTCAATTACAAAAATAATATATTTTTACTGCATGATATTGCAGCAGTAAAACATAGATGAGAAAAAACTTCTGAATTTTAATTTAAACCATGTTCATACAATATATTAGCAATTTCATGAAAAACTATTTCAGTGGCAGGATGGCTTTAGTAAAAATAAGTATTTAATATGAATTTAATATAATCTTAATTATAACTTAATGGGTTTAAAGATTTAAACTATCAAAAAAATCCATTCTTCAAAGTTAAAATAAGTTCATTTTAAGTGTAAAGATTATTTCTTGATAAAGAAACGAAACTTACAAAAAATCTTTAAGCAAGAGGTTGTTTTTACAGGAATAACTGTTTTTATTATATTATAAATTCATATAAGTTTAAATGGGATAGTTTTGTTCATAAACATATTCACACAGTAAAATGAACTTTTAATAAATACTCTTGTTTAGATGTATTTATTTTCTTCCTTTCATTACAAATATTTTAATAATTATGTATAAACAACAACAAAGGGTGCTAGAAATATTTCTATGTAACATAAATAATGTATGCCAGGATAGTATCAAAACCAAAGTAACAACCACCAAAACTAATGCTTTTAAAGTAAGGTACTCTATTTCCTGAGTCATTAACTGTTCCTTTTTATCTATTGATGGAGAAATAATTTATAATGAAATCTTTACAAAGTTTGTAAGAACTATACAATGAATCAAGAACTAATCAAATCAAAGGACATAAAAATACAACATGGGAGAATTTCACAGACAGCCGAATTCATAGAGTAAAATTCTAATCATTGTACATTTTGTAATTAGAGCTACTTATAAGTAAGTATATTTACATCTTATTTATGAAATAAAAGTGTGACAGAGATTGATTATTAATTGTTAAGACTCAGTAAAACAAAGAATCAATTAAGCAAAAATAATTATTAGAATTACTTCATAATCAAATCAAAACAGAAAACTAACAGAATAGCATTATACGACTCCAGCAGAAATCTTAAGCCGACTGAAATTACAGAAAAAACTAATCGGACTTATTAAAATAATAAAAATCATTTACCTATTAACTTATTTGCAAAGTATTCATTTTTGGATAAAACTATTCATCCAGTTTTGTTAATTTTTATTTCAATATCAGAGTTCTATACTGGAATTTATATTTTACAAATTTATAAATGTGTAGAGGCATGCAAATGTTATTAAAGAAATTAAAAATATAAGACTAAAATTATTTGTCAAACATATAGTTAAATAGGCTTATATAGGAACAGCTTTAAGAAAAATGTATAAACCTGTGGCTATAAATTCAATTGGAGAAATAGATCTTATGACTTATATTTGTTAATATTTCATAATAGTTCTTGTCATACTTAATAAATTTTAACAGAAGGCCATTTCTCTAAACAATGTTTTATTATTACCATTATTAACCATACACATAATATAATATAAACTGTTATACTGTATATCATTTCATATAACAACCATTTATCAACTAATTAATTTAAAACTTAATAATGAATAAACAGCCTAAGTTTAAAACATCCAATAAAAACTGTTCAATAAAGGCAGTACTAAATATGTCTAAATGAATACAAAATTAAATATGTAGTTCATATAAATTAAACTATAATTAAAACTTACTTGAATTTTTTTCTTTGAATATTATTGCTTTTCTATTCATATGACATGGTTCTGGTCAGACTAATCTGTTCTTCATAGAAAAACTAATAGACTCATTTAAACAAGGAAAAAAGACTTGTTTATTAATCCTTCAACCCTTACATTTAACCACACTGAACACTAAAGCTATTAAGTATTTTGTTTCGATAAAAAATGAATGATTTTTGACTTAACATGACTTTATTTACATTAAGTAGAGACTGAAATGTTACAAGTTCATTTTAGTCAAGGGTGCCAACTACATCCAATTGCAATTGCTTCCAATAAGTATATAATTAAATAAAGATTCTTATAAATTATTAATCATCATTCTTCAAGAAAAGAGAAAACTTTAAATATATTCAATGAAATCTTTTATAAAAATATTAAATCAGAAAAAGTGTCTGAGCATTCTGAAATCAATAAATAAAAGTAACTTAAGTAATTCTAAAAATATAATAGTGCTGATATCTATTTATAAACAGTAATTTTATTTCATAAAACTTTACTGTTACATTTTTTTATTAGGTATCAGGAAATTCATATTTTAAATTAAATTAAATATTTACCTCTTCATGATTGATTATATTATTTTTCAAGATGTTGATTAAATTTCTAGTTAATAAAATTGCAACATATAAGACATTTGTTTGAGGCAAGATAACTTCTATAGTAACATACAATAGTCGAAAAAAGCAAACATATATATATTTTTTTTAAATAACATCAGTTATACACAAATCCTCTGTAATGATACTTCCTAGGGATCCACATTCCTAAAGATGATGCGATGAGGATGCAAATAAAAGCAGAATTATACCAATTGTAATTTAGTTTTTTCCCTAGGTCCTTGTTTTGGAGGTTCCATCCAACTAACACCCCAAAAATGTATAGTTTTCTTCATAAATTGATAACCCTGTAAATATATGCCTGTATGTAATAACCCTGCATATATTGCGTTATGTTACCTCCTTCTGGGTATCCGTGATACCTATTATCATTCATTACTATACATTCCGTACCTTAACATGCATAATGGATATTCTATTTCGGAAGGCACCTCTGTTATTACTTTAATATATGTAATTATAGGTACTATATTTTAAATATATAGTATTTTTTAATTATGAATGTATTTTTTATAACTAGTTATATTTAAGTATCAAACTGTGGGTATCTACTATATATATATATATATATATATATATATATATATATATATATATATATATATATATATATATATACAAAAAAAAGCTTATTATGGACTTCTTTTATGAATATTTTTAATTTGCACTTTAAGTCATTAAGTATTTGATATTATTAATAATTATTGTTAACATTATTAGAAAATCAGTTACTGAGCATTAAAAAATCTAGTGTAGAAAGTTATGAAGACACAAAAATGAATCTCCTTACTTGACTCAGATTATCATATTCGGGTAAAAAATTGTACTAGACATTTATTCAATATCATTTGGATTTGCCATGTTTGAACAGACAAATTAAGTTTATTATGAAAACCTAAGTCAAAATAGAAAATTTTCTTTATGAATAGTATTTACAATTATGGTATAAATAATTTATTATTGCTATTTATTTTTTGTTCTTTTTGTATGCAGTCCTTTTAGGAGAAATAAATGGAATATATCTTCCTTTTATTGCAAAAAAACATTGAGTGAATTAAGGCATTACATAACCTTAAATTACAAAGAACTTTGTGGAACTTTCCCTTTGTGAAATTATAAAATTGTATGCTTGTTGAAACTATATTTGTATATAAAATTTTTGTGTCCTTTCTCAACGTTCAATCTCAAATCACTGCTTGTTGTCCATGTGTTGATACTGTCTATATCTACTTTTAGTCCTCATCTTAGTAGGATGAAAATACTGGTAGATTTAGGGGCTATCAACAAATTAATGGTATTGTTTATGGTGGGTTAAAATTATGGAGGTAATTAATATAGTTGGAGACAAGGATTGGTGAGAGCTAAGTTTCTGAAGAATATCACAAGTTATCAGCTGTTCATTTATCATGTTTCCAATTTGTTGTGATATTTCAGAAATATTAGTATCTAAAAATGGATCTAATTAAAATGAATGAAGTAATTAGCTGAAAAAATTCCACCCACTTGATTTTTTCATGTTTTCGTCTAAAAATATTTCTGCCATTTGTAAAAAAAGTTGTATTTGTATATAATAAATGGTATTTGTAGGTAATACTTAGTATTTATGGAATTTTATAATCTTTTTTTACCTTTAACAATCAAAATGTGATTGGGTAAGAAAGATTAGGGAAAAAAAATTGAAAAACGAACCATTATTATTCTAAAAGAAATTAATTACATCATCGTTCAATAGCGCGTGTTTCCTCCTCTTGCCTTCACTACTTCTTTAAGATGACTCGGCATACTTTCCACCAGTCAGGAAATGTCCCTTTGCTGGAGGATAGCCCATTCCTCCCGAAGAGCCCTTTCAAGGTCCTGCAGTGCATCAGGAAGTGTTGCACGCGCTCTTATTCGTTTTCCGAGGTTATCCCATAAATGCTCAATGGGGTTCAAATCTGGAGAACGTGCTGGCCAGGCTAAAACCTCAATATTGTTCTGTTGAAGGAACATCTGCACTATGCGGACGACATGTGGGTGTGCATTATCGTGTATTAGAATAGAACGATCGCCGATTTCGTTGAGGATAGGCAACACATGAGGTTCCAGCATGTCATCTACAAAGCGAATGGCCGTCAAAGACCCTCCACGAACAACAACCAATTCCGTGCGGCGCTCCATTGAAATCCCAGCCCACACCATTAAGGAACCAAGTTGGAAAGGTTGGCTCTGGGAAAAATTACAGGCTGCATATCTTTTGTTTCTTCTTCTCCACACCCTTTCACGTCCGTCTGGAGATCGAAGAGCGAATCTTGACTCATCTGTAAAAAGTATAGCACTCCATTCGTCCATAGTCCAATGGCTGTGTTCTCGAGCAAAAGCCAGCCGTGTTACTCTGTGAGTTCTGGTCAACTCTGGTCCTCTTACTGGACGAAAAGCCATTAATCCATACTCATTTAATCTTCTCCGAGCGGTACGCTCAGAAATTTGCACACCTCGAACTTCTTCGAGCTGATGAATCGCTTGAACAACGGTAAGGTGCCGGTTTCGTAAAATTCTCAAAGTCAAAAACCGGTCATCCCGTGGTTCTGTTACCCCAGGCTGTCCAGAACCGGGCCTTCTATTGTAAGAACCAGTTTCCTGAAAACGCTTGATGGTGTCTCGTAAAGTTTCATATGGAACTCCGATGGCATTAGCTGCATATCTAATGGAACGTCCATCATCAATAAGTGCCACACCACGCTCAACATCCTCAGCACTAAGAGGCATTTTTAAACTTAATATTGAAAAAAGTAAAAGCCGGAGACTAAGAAATGTGCTGCAAGAAACGGCACTGAACTAATGATACTGAATAAACATTTTGATTCCATAGAAAGTAAACATTGGAATCTAGAATCATTTCATTGAATTAAGGATTAAGGGTGATTGTCCTCTATATTAACATTCCTAATTGAAAACAAACAAAAAGATTACCTATTTATTCATTAAAAACAATAGACCAATCCAAAGCAGAAATATTTTTAGATGAAAAAATTAAGTGGGTGGAATTTTTTGCCTGTCAGTGTAATTTGTAGACATAACATACCCAAGTAGATAAAATTAACCTCATTAAAAGATGCTGGGAGTCACATATTTCTCATGAGCAATTGCTTAGGCATCCCTATGGTTGATAATGAGGTATAAGTTGTGAAAACTGTTTCATTTGTCAATTACTTTTATATTTATTGTTATTGTCACTCTAGAAAAATAATGAAATGATAGAAATATAGTTTAAAAATCTTGGTAATGAAAACATGTAGGCCTATCTATTGATATTGTTGATTTGGAAATGTCTTTATTTACATTATAAAGCTTACAATAAACAACATGGAAGTCAAACACATAGCACTATTATAATTACAAATTCTATATAACCTATAATACCCTACTTATCAAAGAGTCACATAATTTCTTTTCTACCCTGAAAACCCAGATGCAAGAAAAATTAAAATATACTCAAAATTTATTGACTATTGTAAAATATATACATGATTAAACTTACAAGACATGGCAACACAAAAATAAAGTGTAGTTATAACAATAAATTAATAGTTACATTTAATGCATTATATATTAACTAAACCTAAATCTAGAATCGTGTTAACTACGTGCACTCTACACATTTGAACTTAGTATAAAAGTACAAAAGCCATGACTTCCTTTTGTACAAGTAATTTACATAGTTACAATAAAAATATATTCTATTACAAATATTTTTTTTAGCTGTATTTTTATAGTTACAAAAATATCTTTAATTGGTAACTAAATAGTTGTATTTTTACCATCCAAAAATTTAATGTTTTTTAGTAAGTACAATACTTAACACAGGTTACGTACTTCATATTCAATGCACTATTATACAGTCTTTTTGAGGGGTGAGGAATGGAAAATTTAATTCTTAATCATTTTTCTGTACCTTGTCTTTAGAAAGAAAAAAACTTTTGATACAGTATTCGATCTAATAGAATTTTTTATCGAAAATGATATGAATTCGTAACTCATCGCTTGATTTCTGCATTTTCACTTGATGGAACATCAAACACTTTGAACAATCCGAAATAGCTCTTGTATGGCTCGAACATGCTGTATCTTTCAAGATTGTCGATTTCCTTAATGGATACATGATCTCCAACATCTAGGTAGAGCAGACCGCCAGTATAACACGAATTTTTCTTGTAAGTTATTCTTCCTGGTATCCAGTCTTCATGGTGTAGGTTAGTTATCATACATTGGAAGACAGGTTCACCGTTAACATACACTCTATAACCACTGAGGTCATGATTGTCAGCATAGAAAATCTGAAAAAGATATTGGAAATATAAATTAATAATAAAAATAAAAATAATGTCAAAGAGATACATTTAAAAATTATAAATGGCGAATAATTTCACATACTAAATTTTTAAATAACTTACAAAGAAACTTGATTTATATAAACATTTTAAGGAAGAAAGAAAGAAAGAAAATTAAATTGTGGGACTTTTAGTTCCCTAAGAATAATTATTGAAGGAAGTTAGTCGACTGTTCTACAAATCAACTAAGTTTAATAATGATGAACAATGAAGTGACATTTGTCGGGAATTAGAAGATAATCAAGAATTAATCAAGTTAAATACATTCTTCTATCTAGGAGTTTTCATTATTCTGAGAAGTTTCTGAATTATGCTTTTCTATAACAATTTATTTTTATGTTAAATTACATAAAAAAGGATGTGATAGTAGTATAGTGTCTTAAGGACAATCTTTCTCTTATAGCCTTTAGTTTTTAAATGAAGATGAAGAATTGTTATGGGATCATCGGGTATTAAAATAAAAACTGTCGAGACTCAATGTTACTCTAATGAACATCAAAGCCCATGCTGCTCATCGGTTTTAATTAGACCTGGGTAGAATTTATTTGAAATAATATTTCTGAAATAAATTGTTAAATAACCTTCCCCAGTTATTTCAGAAATAATTTACTTCATGAAATAACTTCAACATTATTTCTGAAATAATTATTTCAGGATTAATGTTCTGAAATAATCATTCAGATTCAAAAGGATTGAATTAACCGTAATAAAAATTCTATTGTTCTCTCTAAATTTAGTTTTCGCTTATGCCCCTTTTCGTTTTCTACAATTGGACGGAATTAAGGCATTATATTTCTTGCTGTTTCAGACACTTTAGTCTCTGTAGAGGCAGAGTGTCCCCGAGAGAAATTTAATTTCTTATGCCGCATTTTGTTTTTTACTATAAGACAGAGTTGAGGTATTATTTATATGTACTACTGTTTGAGACATTTAAAACTTTTAAGAGGCTGAGTATGCGACACCGATTTCACCAATTTCATTTTTGTATGCCCCTTTTTGTATTGTTTTTTTCGATTAAATGGAATTGAGGCATTATATTTACTGATGTTTGGGACACTTTAATCTTTGTAGAGGCTGAGTGTGCCCGATGACAGCAGCCATTTCTTTTATCTTGCCATTCAGTTTTTCTGCTACTCATAGGGGATACAGTTTTTAATTTACTATTGTTTAAGCAATTTAAAGTTTTCTAAAAGATGAGTGTGTCCGATAGTCATTTCCTTTTCTTTATCTATTCATTTAGTTCTTCTGCGATTCATAGGAAATAGAGTTTTACATTTACTATTTTTTGAGCGATTTAAAGTTTTTTAAAGGCTGAGTATGGCCCATCGAAATTTTTTTAAAAATTTATTTCTCAACTGCAAAAAAAACCTAAGGAGGGCATTAAAAAAAAAATTAAACAGTCGTCGGGCACACTGAGGCTCTACAAAGGTTAAAGTATCTCAAACAGGAGTAAGAAAAAAAAAATGGCTGTCTCCCTCTATACAATTTTAACTTGTTTAAACTAATAGACAATATAAAAAACCCATAGTCATTTAGGACACAGAAAAGGAAGATGACGGTGGAAACTAAATTAATATGAAGGTAGTCAGGCAAACTCAACCGGGTAATGTTATACTATATATTTAAATATTATATATTTTTTATATCGGTGGATTGTTTACGTTATTTCAGAAATAATTATTTCTGAAATAACTAATTTCAAAATAAATTACTTTATTTCAATGAATGTTAAAGTATTGAAATAACATTTCAGAAATAACCATTATTTAGGGAATAATTCATTCATGAAATGATCATATGATTTATTACAGAAATAAAATTATTTGAAGAATGCCCAGGTCTAGTATGTTGTTAGTTAATTATTTTTATTAACAAAATACATAAACAATTTATACAATTAATAACTAAGAAGTAATAAAGTAATTTTCCACAACAATTAAGACTTCTTGTGGATGAAATATGGAAAGGCAGAAGTGCTCTTTTTAGCTATTTTAGCAAATAATTAAGAAAATTAACATCTTAAAAAGCTTTATATGTTCCAGAATATTCTTTATTTTTTTATCTAGCATAATATTATAGTTATTTAAAGTAAAACTTTGTTATATGTAGTGCACCCATCCCCATATTACCCTGTTATTATCCATAATTCTTTCTCTTAGATTAATCAAATTACTTTATAGAACAATCAATTGGTGAAAGAGTTCTTTTTAACCTCTTTATTGACAATATTCAATCGATTATTTTACCTTTTTACCAGTTGTTAGAAATATAATAGGAGTAATATTAACGTAAAATCTTACCTGGGAATAGAAATAGTATATGCCAGGAGATTTTTCCAAGGATACTTCTCCGTCTTTCATTTTGAATGTGCTGTGAACATCGATGCCACTCCAAAGTGATGGAGCCCAATCCTTAAAGATACCTCGAACATGGCACATCCTGTGATTAGCTGTAAAACAAAATATAAATTATATAACATTTTGAATTTTTAAAAAATAACTATTTTCTATAAGTGTTGAACACAAATTTTAAGGATTTTAAAAATAACACAAAACTTCAATAAATTTGTCAATATCTAGTAATTCAGATTGAACGTTGGTTTATTATGCAGGTTAATATAAATAAAAAATGTAATGAAATTACATATTGCTAAGTTCTTGAATTGACAAAATACATAATCCAGCCAATTAAAAATCTTCCAGTCAAAATTAATATACTTATTTCTTTCTTCACTTCTTTTTTATCTTGATGGATATTATTTTAGTTTTAATCTGTTATGATGATTGAACTATTTTTAATATTTACAAATATTTTGAATGTAATTTACTTTCTACGTTGTTTGTATTTTCAACATCATTTATAATCATATTTTCAAAATTAATGCTAAATGTTTCTTTATATTACATTTTTTTTTAAATTTACAATAACTATACTGCTTTTCTTTATGGTTAATGCTTTCTTTACATATAGCTCAGTCTTTTCTCATTATTATAAGGATATCTCTTCTCCTTTCTTCCTTAGAAATGTCACCATGAATAATTAAAAGGTAAAACTATGAAGATGTATCATTAAAAATATTCTGATACTGATATAAAATATTTATCTGAAGGTTTTTATTTTCTCATAATTTGTTTTTCCGTACTTGCCTAAATATAAAAGTAAAATTGAGTTAACAAATTTCAACTTAGGTTTTCCTTATTATGATTTCGTTAAGAATGTATTTCATAACTTCGACAATTTAGTGAGTTTTGACAATTGTGCAAGTGATGAAAATGTCACTTAATCTTTTTTTTAATATTAACAGAAAGACAGATGGTTGCACATTAATATAGGACCTACGCAGACATTCTATAAAACTAGTAATTTATTGACACTGACAACTTAGCACCTTGGGACAAATCCATGGGATTGGAATGAATAAGAAGTCATTCAAGAGTTTACTTTTTATAAAGTTATAATTTTCTATATTTATAAGATTTGAAATTCTTCAAATCAGCCATTTTGTTAACTAATATTCAATTCAATGGAACTCTCTGGAAGAGATTTGGAATAAACACAAAAATGTGTTCCTTCATCAAAAATGTACTTTTTAGTGAAATTCATTAAAATTACACTAAAATTATGAAACATTTAGAAAATTAAACATATTCAGTAGATGATCAAGGCAATGAAAACATGACTTTTATTTAATGAAATAACCTAATAAAAATGTAAATTTCAAATGAAGAATTATTTTATTTTTTAAATAATTACAAAATTATACACACCATCATATGTGCAGCCTGATCTTCCGCCATGATGCCTGTGCCTACTAAATCTTTCTGTGTTGCCTTGGAAGTGGATGGCATCAACTGTCTTTAACATTCGACCGGCTTGTTTGTGCGTTTCCGGGGCATACTCATATCCTTGCTGCAACATCAAAAATAAACTATTAGCTTTAAGTTGAACAAAATTAAATATTATAGTAATCTTTGCTTTCTGATCAGTCCCAGCCAGCCTTGGGGTGGGGCAATCGTCCAAGGCACCAGTAAAATAAATAAATAATAACCATACGATAATAACAATTATAGCCTATTAAAAAAACAATTAATTTAAGACATATTTAATTAAATTAAATTTAATTATTACTTAATACAGAATAGCTCAAAAAACAAATTAATTTTTTTGGAGAGATATGACATCACTGCCTGGGAATACTAAATGTATAAGGCAAGCATTGATTGTGATCCATTAATGTTTGATATTTTGAATAACTAATACATTTGTTATTAAATGAATTGACCTCAAATATAAATGATTAAACTACGCCAATAATTTATTTTGTTATATATCTTTATAATTAGTTTGATTTAAATAACATTCCATTTAACTGTTTTAACAATTTTAGTAAGATAAAATAAAATAATGAAGATTTAATTACCTGATCTGTATGGACTATAATATGAGCCTTCACCTCAGGATCACTGAAAAAAAAGAAGAAAGATCGGTAAATAACCTGAAATCTGTATCATATCATAATAAACAAATAATCTGTAAATATATTACAAAATATAATGTTTTTAATGTGGAATAAAAGTATAACAAAATTCATGCTTTCTATGCTCTTTTTTTAAGTTTTATAATAATGAGATTTATCTCAAAGAAAAAAAAGAAAAAGAACTATATACATCCTTAGCATCATATATATATACATTTTAAAATTATGAATTCAAAAACCTTAGTTATAGAAATTATAACGATATTTTTCCATTAATAATTTATGCCTAACGCTTATTTTTGTTTAAAGAAATTATTTGACTGGCTTTATATTGCTGAATAAATATCTTCTATTCTTTTCCGTTTAGAAAAAAAAAACTTATATAACTTAAATTTCCATTCTAGAAAGAAATATTAATTTTCTAATATATATTTGGATAGAACTCATAGTTGTTCAAAAATCGAATGAAAAAAGCAAGAGAAATACATTAGAGTGTTTCTTCTCTCCTCTGGAACTTATGAAACCTCACAAAAAACTAAAATTTCATTACTAAATGATAATGAGTAATTTTTTTCCCCCTTTGTTTTCTGGAGTTTAAAACATATAGCTGCCCGCACGGGATCGCATGTTAAGAAAAAGAAACCTACTCAATTGGTTTCTAAAAAAAAATACATTCTGAAAGATTCATCAGAGGTAATTGGTCAAAATGTGGGTCAGAAATACAAGAAGTGAAAATGAATTGATTGGCCCAGGAGGTTAGGTGCAATTGACCCTTCCAGGGACGGCTTCCAGGAAGTGATGAAACATCTTCTCCAGTCGATCCCGATCGCTGGAAGATAATCGCGGAAACGACATTAATGAACAATAGAATTGATAGAATTAACGCTGTCTAAGCTTGATCTAAATGCAACTGCCATTCACCCCGAGGGAAAACTGCATTCTACGTCAGTTGCAGTTTAGTCTATTACAGTAAAAACCTTCTATCATTATTTATAAATAAAGTCAATTTTTTGAAATTAAATAATCACATATTAACATAAATATAACGAAATACTTCGAAATCAACAATTTTTATTGAGATGCATTCGAAGCATAGCCGCCATTCTGGTTGGGGAGATGGGGATGGCCTACACAATAAATAAATAAATAAATAAATATGTATATATATATATATATATATATATATATATATATATATATATATATATATTTATTTATATATACATATTATTTTTATTTTTTTGCCTAAGGGAGTATATTTGAAATTATGTTAACAACGAAATTGAGTATATTACATATTTTTATTTTTATTTAAATGTCCGAGACATTGATAATTTTCATTTTCCAATGTTTCAATCTGATCAAATCTTCAAGTAAAATTGGAAGGGTGCACATGAATGAGCCGTTTGACCTCAGGGTTTTTGGAGGAAGTAATTTATAAAGTTTTGCCCTTTCACAGGTTTTCTTTTTAGGGTCAGGAATAAGAATCAAAAGAGTTCCTTCATTTGACTTCGAATTCATTGATCGAACGGAATAATGGATATGAATGAAAATATTCCTCATAAAGTTGAGAGCAGTTTGAAGCGCTTATTTATTAGAACCAAATATCTGAAAAATGGTTTCTTAAATTCCAAATTGTATTATAGGTATGGGGGCGTGGTGGCCGAATAGGCTAAAGTGTGTGCACAGCACCGCGAGTTGCCTGGCAACCGGATAAAGGTTTGAGAGATTAAAAAGTACGAATTCGCGTACCGGTGCCGGAGGGGATTTTAAATTCCCCGAACTCACCCCCGCCCTGGAAAATCAGATAAAGCCTAAAAGGCGAGGTAGAGAAGAACGGAAAAAAAGTGTATTAATGGTAACTTTCATGTTCTTATTTAATTTTAATATACGTTTCTTGTAGAAAAAATCATGCTTTACAATTTTTTTTCTATCCAATTTTATCATAAAACCAAATAAGTAAAAGTTACATATATTTATATTATCTTCTTTCAATCTTGGCTCAATTTGCGATTGAAGAGACCATACTGAAGTACTATCCGTATCTAAAGAGCGGGAAAAATGTCCTTTGAGTGATGAATTTAAAAATCTGGCATTTAAGCGTTACTACTGGCCACATCTTATTATAGCATAACTGTCGGCCAATAATAGCACCAAAAAACATTTAAATAGTATTTTTTAAAATTATTATTACTTTAATGATGGAACGTATCGGTTAACTTATATAAATTTTACGTTTAATGAATTATTAATTTACTGATTCGATGGAATTAATACAATCTCTTGTTTTAAGTAGTCTATGATGACTACAGATTAACTCAAAAAGAAACTTTGTGTTGAGAAAAAAAACATATCCCTGCGAAACAAATTCTATTAAATATATTATACTTTAGCCAGTTAATGGTTGTGCCGGATTTGACGTTTTGCAATTTTTTAAAAGGACTACCTTTCACACCTTCATTACGAAATACAGAGGCGACCGACCATCTTAGCACGTATAGTTGGTTCAACAGAACAAATAAGGAATCTTTATTTCAATGGTTTGCCAAAATTTCTCGGATTACCTAATTTTAAATCTCACAAAATTTGGCACATTTTCTTCAGTGCAGAGGTTGGGAGGGCAGGAAGAATTATTATTCTTATAGGAGTTATTTGCACCAGTTTCTTGTATCTTTGAGTAGCTCTGCTATCTGTTATTGGAAACCATATTCCTTTTATTTATTTAATTTAATTAGATTAATTTATTAATATACATAAGTTACCATTATTCTTTGTCTAAAGAAATTAGTCTATTTAAAGATCAAATACAACACGAGTTTTGTAGATATTACACCTTCTGTTTCTGGTGGAACTGTAACTAAATATGGAAATAAGTAAGTTGCACATTGCATCATATTTTTAAATCGTTCCCATAAAAATAAAAATCATGCTTGAGAATCGAAGTTTGTCTTTTCTTGATTATCATGGCTCCCAGCTTAACATATAAGTACTAAATTTCGTTAGACCCCATGAAATCGTCATTCTATCGTTCATTCCACATTTTCCTATTATGATATATTTCAAAAATTATGCAACCCAGCTAACGATGATTGGGGAATAAGCAAACCAGGAAAACAGATGAGTTCATGATTTGCTTGTCGTTTCTCTGCAATGAATTCATTTATTATTTCTTAACATGGATGTTCATCCCTCCACTTCAACGTGGTATTAAACTAAAATAAGATAGCAACAAATGTTTAACAAATTTATCGCTTCATAAGGAACTATTTATGAATTAAAAATTAATTTCGCTACCCTTAAATTAATTTCTCCCTATTAAATACCTAATTGTCCTTCTGTTTTGAGTTGGATACACTCTTCTTTAATAAGATATCAGTGCACAGGTATGTATCTATTCAATTTTTAATCAAGTCATATCTGTAAAACTTCTATCTTCAATACAAAATTTTTCATTCAATAATTTATTTTTTTTTACAATAAAAAATCTCATGTAATACATTTTTTTCATAGAAAGCCAAATACTTGTCTACGATCAGGGATGCCCATTCCTCCCAATGTCAATGGCGCGAGAATCTAACCCCCTCGTCCCAAGGTAGTATTGATCATCTCTTAAAATCAAAACAAGCGAAAGTAGAATTGGAGAAATCGTGGATTTTACTGGACTTCCTGCGGTCTGTTCCATGCTTCCTCTTGTATTTTGGTTTGAATCTTTTCATTCCAAAAATTCATAAATCTGTCGAAGTGGCACCCCTCTCAAAAATTCAAAATCCCCTCAAAATCAAACCCCCTTCTGGGTGAACTGAAAAGTCGAAATCCCTGTCTATGGTCATGAGCTTGTCGGATAATATTGTCCAGTATGTATACAAGATAGACAAGTAAAGCTATTAACACTGCTTCATAAAATAATTCAAATTCTTAAACTGTGGCAACCTTCAATGGTCTCCCCTAATGCATAACATGTAGGTATGCATTTTATTTTACCTTCCCATTAAATATTAGGTTTTTTCCTAAAAGTATTAATCAAGATCTTTTAAACCGCCGAAGGATATTAATAATAGTAAAAAGAAGAATACGTTTATTTTAAGAATAAATGTGGTGTATAAATATTCAGAAGGAACGGTTCGTTACCGAAAATCGCTCTGCTGTTCATCACCTAAACAATTGATTCATTGGAAGGAATGACGACATTAGACCAGATCTAGGTTTACCCAGAAAAAAGCTTCCCCTGGGAACTGAGACGTTCAGCAGTCAGCGAATCATCACATTTTTTTCTTCTATTAAATAGTTATTTTGAATTACTGCGAAGAAACATCGATTGTTTATTCCCAGGAGCCGATCGCGACCCAGTTGCTCGTCAGTTGGAAAAGCGATCTTCGACGGTAAGGTGGCGTTAGCACGTCAGCATTCAGGTGGGTCTTAGTATATTTAGGATGGAAACTTTAGAATGGTATTTATACTATTGGAGAACCTCAACCAAAAAACTTCTAATATATTATTCTTCATTTTTATTTTATATTTCATTTATTACAAAAAAAAAAATCTACCATGAAGAAAATTTATCACGCATGTATGTACAAAGACACAAACACGCAATATATACTTTAATCAGAACACATAAATACATATATACTAAAGTTCCTAAATGATTATCAGCATGATTATTTTTTGTTAATTTTCTTTAATGTGTATTCTTTGTCGACTTTTTTTATTATTAAAACGACATTTTTTACAATTAGGTATTTTAAATTATATTTAAAATTATTCATATTTTAAAACATTTAAATATAAATTAAATTAAATTTTTAGGATTTTGATTTAATTTCTACTGGTCTTAAATCTATTGTAATAACTATATTGAATGATTGTCAAACATCCATATATGGTACTCTTTATTTCATTTTTTAGGTTTGTTTTATTTTTATAGCTACTAATATTTTCTTCTGGTGCTTTAATTTATTTTGAAATTCTCCTTTTTCTACAGCCATT